TTATATCAACATTTTTTATTTTTCACGATCTTTCAAATGAGACCAATATTGCTTATGTAATTTTAACAAATTATGGAACTATTATATAAATGATTATTGGATTATAAGGAAAACCGAACTAAATTTAATACAAAAAAATAATTGTGTAAATAACAATTTATCTTAAAATTGTGTATATAAAAAATCATTGAGTTACATGTGAGTTACATATTTTTACATGTGAAGTTACATATTTTACACGTAAGTTACATATTTCTACACGCGAGTTACATTTGTATCAACATCAAGTTACATTTTGATTAACATGATTTACATTTTCGATTTTCCTGAATTAACTTTTTAATTAACGCACCTTACAATTTCGAAATTTCTCAAGTTACATTTTGGATACACTCGAGTTACATATCAACTTGATAAAAGTTACATCTTGTAACACGCGGTTTACATTTCGTATAAAAGGTGAGAGAACCACTAGAGTGTGTAATATGAGTTACATTCCAGGCAGTGAGTTACATTTGTAGTTAACTGAGATTACATTTTATAACAACACGAGTTACATTTCAATACATAGGATTTACATCACATAAAATATTGAGACAAAAATTAAATTACATATTTTTACACGCAAATGTTAATATTTTAAAATTACATGGGTAATATTGGTCTCATTTGAAAGATCATGAAAAACAAAAAAAATGATATAAATTTTATAAAAATCGGATCAAAAATAAAAAAGTTATTAACAATTCCACGGTATAACTACTGCTCCGTCCCAATCTGATTTGCAAAAGTTCCTATTTTGGTTGTTCCAAAATGGTTTTCCACTTTCTATTTTAGATATGTAAATAAGAATAAAGTGACAAATCTACTCTTACTTTTACTTTTCTTCATTAATTCAAAGACATCTACTTTTAGAAAGATGACCAAAAGTGTAAAAAACAAATATCATTTATTGTCATTCCTTAATCCTTGTGCCGGTCAAAGTTTGCAATTCAATTCGGGATGCAGGGAGTAAATAACTCCCGAATGCATTTTTGTCATGTGAATAAATTGTACTACCTCCGTTCCCATTTTAACTTTCAAATGGGTTTGGCACAAAGTTTAAGATAGTGGATATTATGTGGTGGAGAGTTGTGCAGAGGAGAGAGAAATGTGTAAAAAATGTTGTGAACCACAAATTCTTTACCAAAAAGGGAAAATGGAAGTTTTAATTGGAACAGATGAAAAATGAAACTTGAGAGTTTATTTAGGAAGGGAGGGAGTAATAATTTCGAGCACCTGAATTTACTTCCAATTATTGAACGAAGTATTTTGTCGATAATAAAAAGACATCACCGCGTGGGCAGGGTGGAGGTGGTCAGTGGGTCCCGCGGCGAGATTGTGTCAACAGTAGTAGAGTTTAACTCTGTACTAATTCTCATGATCTCTTTAGATTAGCCGTTACAAAACCTCATCAAGTCATCATCATTCATCACATGTAAATAGTGTTATGGAATGACCGAATACTCCTCTTTGGGGAGTCTTTACAAAAAATAAAAAAATGTCTTTCACCTTTTAGGTTAAAAAAACCGAAAGAGTGTTTTTGGATAGGGGTGAGATCTGTCCAGTCCGGGTCGGGTTTTTGCGAAACCCGGAAATGACTCGTAAGACATCGGGTTATGAAAATTAGGGACCGAAAAAGGCCACTATATTCGGTCCGAGTCAGGTTTTTTGTAGCCCGGGTTCGGTTCGGGTTGGGTCGGTTAAAGCCCGAATGTGAAATCAGTCATTTTTCTTTTATATTTTAAAATCTATTTTCAAATAAAATTAATAAAAAGTGAAAACCACAAATAAAATTAATAAAAATCACAAATATTAGTCTCCAAAATCACCAAGAATTCAAATCCAAAGAAGACAATTATCATAATATTTTGTTTAAGATGCATAAAAATAAGTAATATAGGTGTTCTAAAAATGTTATGAAATAAAATTTATGGATAAAAATGTAACTAAAGTTACTATAAATATATTTTCATGGTCATTACGGTAAATAAATTGAACATATTTGTAGTCACTAAAAGTTATTAAGTCATTTTTTCGTCCATCATGATTATAATCATAAATTAGGAATTAATTTATAAATTATATTGGTATATTATATTGATTTTATATTAAGGCTAATTGTTTCGGGTTTTATCGGTCCAGACCGGGTTATAGATTTTAGGGCCAGTTAAAGAGCCCGAAGTTTCGGGTTCGGTCCGTTTTTTTTTATTCAGGCCGGTCAAAAAGAAAAAATCCGGACCGATATCATAATTCGGGTCGGGCCAGGGCCGGTTTCTGGGTTTCGGTTCGGGTTTTCCCACCCCTATTTTTGGATGACAAGTTTTGCTTAAATTAAACACTTATAAACTAAAAGCTGGAAAGAGGTGAATGACGTGTTTTAAATTGCTTTTCACTTTTTCTATTACACCAAAAATACTTATTTTTGTTTAAGAGTTCACCATTAGAAATAGAATGAACACTGATAGGTAATCTATGGCCTATGCTAGCTAAAAAGTCTGTTGCTCGGTCACTTTCTCGGTAGATATGCTTAACTCTAACCGTCCAATTTCAGTTTAAGAGTTCACGAAACTGTGCAACCTTAGAAGAATGATGGTGTGCGTGTCACCTTGTGCCATCAAAAGGTGAATAGTTGATTGTGATTACAACTACACTCGTACTTGGCGGTATCCAAACTCTCAAGCAAAATGTAATCCTTGCACATCAATTCAGCTCTGGTTATCGAGCAAAGACCCAAGTTCATTGAGTACGCTGCTATGCAACGACCATCGAAATAAACGAAACAATCCTCCTGCGGCTGCTCGTCTAGATTCACCACGTAACACTCTTCCATTTCACCCACGTACCTCTCATTTAATGACATACATCTCCATCCAATTCACCATCCTTCTGAATTATGGAGCCCAAATAACGGAACATATCATACACCAGTATCTCCTTACCATCAAGAGTAATCCCACTGTTGCTACTACTTGTTCCTCCACCAAACTTCCACTCCATATACTCAGTCTTGTTTCGACTTAGTCTGAAACCCTTGGTTTCCAATGTTTGTCGCCATATTTCCAACTTCGCTTTAACACCGGATTGCGTCTCATCAATCAATACAATATCGATGACAAACATCATGCACCATAGTATATCTTATTGAATTGACTTCATAAGTTCATCCATGACTATAATAAGTTCATCTATGAGAATAAATATTCATCTTTAATTTTTAATCAATGTCCAACAGTCATAAAGTGTAATTTCGTTAATCACCATGCTAAATTTAAACGGGTATGTTTTTACAATATTACAATTTCAAGATTAACCATGGATTAACATTAATGTTGTGTGTTTGGTAAAAAATTAATAGTCAAAATTATAAGTTATCAAACGGGACCCACAAGAGGGAGAAATAGAGACGTAAGAAGGGGTAGAGTACCATTATACATAGTATATACTCCCTCCGTTCTCTAATAATTGTCTCCTTAGATATTTCATGATTTTTAAGAAGAAAATAGTGGAGATAAAAGTATGAAACATATTATATTAAGAAGAGAAAAAGAAATACAAGATACTTCATCTTTCTTATCACAAATTGATAATTCATCTCAGATAAAATTCCAAGGCTAAAACACATTAATTGTGAACATCAACAATACAGAAATGCAACCTTTCTAAGGGCCTGTTTGGATGGAGTGTTTGGAAGTGTTAGTAATCGAAGTGTTAGTAAGGGTCCAAAAGGGAAGGGAAGTGTAAGTGTTAGACATAATTTTACCTTGTTTGAGAGAGTCAAATGAATGAAGTGTTAATAATGGAAGTGTTAATAATTTTACCTTGAGCAAGAAGAAACGAGTAAGGAGAAGAGATGAAAAAGGCAGACCATCAGACCCGCGGCAAAGAGATTCGAAGTGAGATGTCGAAGCATTTTATGTTTTTAGGGTAAATGAGAAGGGTGATAATTGTCCAACACCTCAAAACACTCCAAATCGGGGTGTTAAAAAAGTGGACAATTGAGGTGTTGGGAAAGTTATTATTAACACTTCCTAACCTTTACTAAAACTTCTTAACACCTCTTAATTTTTCTCCCAAACAAGGGTTAGTATCGACACTTACTGGCACTTTCATTACTAACACTCCCTAACACTCAATCCAAACAGGCCATAAAGTTTAAATTGAAAACAACATTATATCGTTTCAAAATAAATTCTCTTATAGTACTATTGTAGTTATGAATTTAATATAGCAACCTTTTCATTCTCAAATTTATTTTTTATGCAGTTTCTAAATATACAATTTTCTCAAGATTTAATAAGAAATATAATTATTGTATAAGGTTTTCATTAAGAAGAAAAACTTGAACAAGTGTAAGGGTACTCCTTTCATAGACAAAGAGAATAAGGTTTTAAGACAAAAAAAATAGCACAATTTTATGAGATAATGATATAGGGAGAATGCTAGCATTCTCACTAAAGAGCACACTACGTAATGAATGATCGAGATTCTCTAAATATTTTAGATGAATCTTAATCATTCATCATGTCAATGTGCTTCTTAATGAACACGCACTCCTTATATTTTCTCCAATTTTGTTGTCTCTTTGTAGCACATTTTTAAATAGCTCTTGTTTTTTAATTTTTCAAATGACGTTATTAACATACGAGTATTATATATAGGTGACAACTCCGGTAGCCATTTAAAAAATGGGGTACCGTACCTGAAACTCACTTGATTGGTTCAAATCATTACATCATTTTTAATTTTGATTTAAATAATTCAACTACATCATTCTGATTGGTCCATGTGAACAAATGTATGGTATCTTAATGGTATCATAGAATCTACCTTATATACTCCGTATATTCTTAATATACGAAGTACTATTTAACAAAATCAATATCTATATTATTGCGGAGTATTAATTAATTGCAGGGGTTATATTGACATTTTCTTTAATGATCAATGACATTTGTAGCTTCCTTATCAGCCGCAAGAATGTCAAGCACTCCATAAAACACAGAGATTATATACTGTCCGAAGTATACGACTATACGAGAAACTAAAAACGCGATTTTTATTAAGTTTATGAAAACAAAAATTCGAAAAAATGGGATTAAAATAAAGATAAAGAGAACTCGCTGCCTCGCTGGGCTATACTCTGAATTAGCACTCATCACTCATCAGTGTACTGTGATGTTCTAGCTTCCTCCTGGCTAAGCTTGTATTTTTCTTGACTAGAGAAAAAAAGGTAGAGTAGCTTTTGGTCATGTCTTGGATCCTACTTTAGATTCTTCTGTCTTTCATGTGCATTTTTTAACTATAGCTTTCTCTTTCTACTTTCAGACTGCATTTTGCATTTTCACTTCTGGGAACTTTTGTAGGGTTTCTTGTGAGCCTACTTGAGAACGATTGCGACTGAAATCAAAGGTAGTTCACTTTGTTAGAAGTAATAGTAATAATGTAGCTGTTGTGTTAAATGTTAAGTCATTTATTGATCTTCTTTTGCTGTGTTTTGTCTTGTTAATTATGAGTTTTGCAGCTTCTTCTGATGGAGATGTGGAATGTTAGATTCTGTAAATTGCTTTGTTCTTCTAAGTGATTCTTTTTCTATGGCGATGTTCTCAATTTTCTTTGAGACCTGCAGTTGTTCACTCTCACCCCAACTCAGTTTTCTCCAAGCACTTCAAGTTGATGTATTGTAGTTTATGGAGCAAATTATAGTTTCTTGCTTTAAGAACCGGTCAAACATTTTTTATACTACTAGCTAGTAGCTACCATAAAAATAGTAATTAGTTTTACTATAAGTATTATCATTTCCAATTTAGAGGATTTCTTTTTATTTTGGCTATGGGTAGAAACCAAACTAGAAAAAATCTGTCATTTTCATACCATCAGTGCATCTCATTTTCAGAGTATCACAAAATTCACAACTCATCCTTAGGTCTCCTGTTAATGAATGGGGTTGTTTCTCTTCCCTTATCTTCAATGGATGTTACCTCATTCTTCTTCACCAAATTCTTCTTGATAGTTCAGTGCTCTGTTCTGTATAATTGTAGGTCTGAAGGAGGTCTTACAAGATCTCCTCTTCAGTCTTGAAGGCAGATTGTTCTAATAAAGTCATAAATTAACTTAACATGTTTTATTTAAGTAAAAATTATAGTTCTTAGATCAAATTACTTAGAATAAGGAGCTATTAATGGTTTGCCTATGTTGAGAAATAATCTAAATTTAGCATTGGGGTAAAACCAAGTTTAGGGTACAGCTTTAAAAGATTCATGTTGCTTTTAACATCCAATCAAATTGAGAAACTTTTTGAAGTAGTAAAGCATATGCTATCTCTGCCTATGTATTAACCAATACTGGAACTGACCTTCAATTCATTGTTCCTGATCATAAACTTAAGTTGTCATAATATACTTTGCAAATTTCACTTAATTGGAATTTGCATATCTCTTTCCCAAACTGTAGCAGTTGACTTTCTTTTTTTGCAAAGTAGCAGTTGACTTATTAGTAATGTTATAAGTATTCGTGGGGCACTTAATGATGTGGCTGCAGCGTCTGTAAATGTTTTTTTTTTCTGGACATTCTTTTCCATTACATACATTGTTAGGATGTTTTTACTTGGATTGTAATTTGCTGGTTTGGTCTTGTCTGATTTGTTTAAGTCTGGTCTTGTCTGATTTGTTTAAGTCTGGTCTGAACTGGTCTAACCTTGTAAACGTCCGGTCTCTGTGTGTTTTATTTATTACTACGGAAGTCAAGTCTGGTCTGGTCTGATCTGTTTAAGTCTGGTCTGGTTTGTTTAAGTCTGGTTTGGGACTGAAAACAGTCAAAGTAAAAACATCCTTAGTCCATTCCTTTTGTGCAGGTTTATTACTAAAGCATACAAAGTAGTAATTTTGATACGTCATTTCAGGCTCATACAACTTTGGAGGAAATCTTGCACGGGTTTGGGACTCCATCCTAGAAAGAAGAAGAAGAAGGGAACATTGAGAACAGGGATATTCTTTTACTATCTCAGTGTGAATCAAAGACAACAGCACTGTTAAATAGAAGGAGGGACCAAGTCAAATTATCATGCTGTGGTTAATGACGCTTAAACTATGGTCGGGAATTCCCCTGCTTCTATGTGGGTTGCTTTTTTATATAGCAGGTAATGCAGCTAAACTCTGCGGATAATGCTCTTCGTATGTTGAATGAATATACAAAAATATTTTTTAGTATTGGGGTAAGGAAGTTCTTTTTAACTTCCGTTATCTGTTCTTCTAATTGTTTATTATAACTTATAAGAACATTATCTGTCCTGTAAAAGAGACTTATGTTCATATGTACTAAGTGCTTAATTGCATATTAATGATGCCCTCACACTTGCATTTTTTGGTGTCAATTTTTTGTACTTATTAATGATTATTTGCTCACACTTTTTCTATTTTTTTACATCTTTGTTTCTGAAAATGAGTGGTTCATATCTACTGAGTGCTTATTAATGATGGGTGTTTAGACTTTCTTCTATTTTCTCTTCCATGCATGTTTGGGAAAATTACTGGTTCATATCTACTGAATGCATATTAATGATTAGTGCTTCAGTTTTCTTCCACTATTTAGTGTGATTTTTTATAAAAAAATGTTTATACAGGTGCTTTTGTGGGAATAAACATCGGGACAGATGTGACAAACCTACCATCAGCTTTGGATACTGTTGCACTCCTGAAAGCTCATCAAATAACACATGTCCGCCTCTTTGATGCCGACGCTCATATGCTAAAAGCTCTATCAAACACTGGGATTGAAGTTATTGTTGGTGTCACAAACGATGAGGTTTTAGGTATTGGCCAGTCGTCGTCAGCAGCGGCAGCTTGGGTGAACAAGAATGTTGCTGCATATATCTCATCGACCAATATCACAGCAATTGCCGTGGGAAGTGAAGTTCTTACTACCATCCCAAACGCTGCTCCGGTTTTAGTTCCTGCATTGAATTACCTCCATAAAGCCCTGGTTGCAGCTGACCTGAATGACCGAGTCAAAGTCTCAACCCCTCAGTCAATGGATATTATTGCAAACGCCTTCCCCCCGTCAACTGCCACTTTCAAACCTTCATTGAATTCAACGGCTCTTCAGATCCTTCAGTTTTTAAAAAGCACGAACTCATACTTCATGCTGAATGCTTATCCTTATTATGAGTATGTTCAGTCTCAAGGCATCTTCCCTATTGATTATGCTCTCTTCCAACGCCTTTCCTCGGCCAAACAAGTGGTGGACCCAAATACCCTTTTCCACTACAACAGCATGTTTGATGCCATGGTAGATGCTGCCTATAATGCTATTGCATCCTTCAACTTTTCGGATATTCCTGTTGTGGTGACGGAAACCGGTTGGCCATGGTTAGGTGGGGAGAAAGAACCTGATGCCACATTAGAAAACGCCAAGGCATTTAATAAGAATCTGATCCGACGTGTTTTGAATGACTCTGGACCGCCGAGTCAGCTTGGAACTCCCACGAGCGCTTATATTTATGAGTTCTTTAATGAGGACAAAAAGCCTGGACCTATCTCCGAAAGAAACTGGGGAATATTTTTCCCAAACGGGACTGCAGTTTATCCCCTTTTGGATGATGGTGGCACAGGAAATGGTCTTGGCAATTCCTCTTCCGAGGTTTTCTGTGTAGCAAAGCCTGGGGCAGAAACTAAGAAACTGGAAAGTGGGCTTAACTGGGCATGTGGACAAGGGAATGCCAATTGCACTGCCATTCAACAAGGGCAGCCTTGTTATTCTGACAATAATAATATTCATAACCTTGCGTCTTATGCCTACAACGACTATTATCACAAAGCGATCAGTTCAGGAGGAACTTGTGATTTCGATGGTACAGCAGAACTAACAAATACAGATCCCAGTGAGTTTCTATGATCCATCATCGCCATCATCATTATCATCATTGGCATCATCATCAGCCACCTTGCTCCTAAATCTGTTGGAATATGTGACATGAAGTTAAAGTGTCTAGTTATTGAATGAATTAATTTATTTTAAATTAATGCAAAAAGCAGTGTCAAGGTTTTATGCCAGTTGCCTTTATGTTAAACAAGCTTCTATAGATGCGATACTGAGATGAAGTGCCAAAAACAGTCTTTATAATACGCGTTATCCACTAGGTTGCATGAAAAACATATTAGCATAAGATGTTGAAGAGATAAGCTGTAACGATATTAATTGTAGTCATGTCTCATTGCAACATTGGTAGTTCTTCTTTATTCGATATTTTTTATTTTTTCGTGACATTTTTTATTATTATATATATGGACACTTTGAAATAGTTCTTTTGCATTATATTGACTGGAAACATGATTTGGAAGTTCAATATTCTAAGCCTCTGCTCACTTCTCACAAGTCACATTAGGATATATGTCCTATGCTAACTACAGCATGCTTCAAATAGCTCTTTTGAATCCTCACAAATCAAAGATTCTGCAACAGGGAGAAGTATTCATATTGCTTTACGTAGAAATATATATTGAAGTGCACTTCAGTTTATTACCGAACAAAATGTATGATAAACTCTAATCTTTCTTCCTTGTGTGCTTTTGCAGGTTTTGGGTTATGTAGATTTTCCGGAAGGTGAGAGAGCCTATACACACTTTTAAGATCAAGCTTGATTTTGTCCTTAATTTCATGATCTTGGATCTAACTATATTATCACATTTTTTGTGTGCAGTAGGACAAATTCAAGTGGCAGTGGTCTTTTCCCGCCCTCTTCACTCGGACCTGTAAGCCCGGTAACTGCTGAAGCTTCTAGAATACCAGGTTGTCATCTCGGGAATATTTTAGCTTTATTGCTTACCCTGTGGGTTTCCTCAAGCCGAATTCAGCGTTGAGATCTTGGTTCCAAGAGTAGCTTCCGGTGTAGAATGTATACTATCTAGGGTTTTATTTTAGACTATTGGAGTATTTCTATTCTTTTTTGTCCTTTTTCTTTGAAATGGCTGTGCTCTGTGCATGGGTTAATCTTTCAGGATCCAGCTTGTCTTGGTAGTTTGGTTTTTATTTCCATTTCATATTTCTAGTGGAACGAATTGTTCTTTCAAGCTGTCATTGACTCATAACTAGGGATAGACCGGGACGGGCCGGCCGACCCAGGCCTGACCCAGTTCTGTGCAAGCCTGGCCCGACCCACTACTTTTCAGGTCAGGTCCCGGCCCGGGGCCCGACCCAGTGGGCAGTGGCTATAAGGGCAGGCTTCGGGCTCATTTTTTGGGCCTAGTCTGATTGCACTATTTTTTAATGTATTGCCCAGCCCCATCCCGAAACCCGGTCTGACCCGGTATTGTTTAGGCCCGACCCGACCTGGTCAAAACCCGGGCCAGTACCGGGCCTAAATTTCTAAAGCCCGAGCCCGCTAGAAGCCCGACCTGGTTTTCCCTTCCACCAGTTTAGAACGTCAAAATCATCATCTTCTTCAAAATCAACATCATATGTTAAATACAAAGAAATTTCATTAAGTGTGCTTTGTTGAGTAGCGAGAGTTGATTTCGTTGTTTAATAAGATTGACAAATGTAGATTTCAAAATTGATTTTTCTTTAGATGAAGATGTTTGTGTCGGGGGATGGGGTGCGTTGCCATATTGTGAATGAAACTCATTAAATAATGCATAAAATATATCACTAACCTCGCTGTATTCTTTTTTCGGATTAATTGGGTTATCTTCATACATTGGCATTGGACCAAAAAAAGCAGCATAATAATAATTCAAACATTCTTCTAAAGAACCAAGTCTAAAACGAGGATCGAAAACAAATGCAATACCATAACTATGCGGAATATGTGAATAATATTTTAAAAACTTTTCCTTCATAAAACTAGCAAAATAACTCACATAATCACCATTCTCAAAATTTGAAAAAGCACTGATGAGATTAACAGCTTCACGAATAAATTGGTTTGAGGTAGGTTTATAAACATGACTAAAAGTTTCAGTTGCATTATTAAAATATATCAAAGCATTGCAAATTTTTCCACATGTGTCGATCTCAGCCGAGTTTATAATATAGTTATCATATTGTTTCATAAAAGCAGGAAAATGTTGTTTATATCTAAGAAGAACTGCAATTAACTTATAAGTACTATTCCAACGAATAGACAAAACTTTAGGAAAAGCCACATATTTCTCACATCTTTCTATCAAATAATCATGCCATTTTTTTCTAAGTTGTCCATTACCCCAAATACGTCTAATCCCCCCTTGACTATCTCCAAAGATGCTCCCAACGCTTATAGACCATCTTGCACACATAAATTTATAACATGACATGCACATCGTTGATGAAAAAATCTACCCATCAAAGAAGTAGAACCACACAATTCAAGCAATCTAGGAATAGCAGCAGTATTATTAGTAGCATTATCAAAACCAATAGCAAACATCTTATCAATTAAATTATACTCAATTAAAATACGCTCAATCAAAATCGTGTATCTGACCAGTTTCAGTCTTTCAGACTTCAGTGCACCGTTCAAATTTTCAGTATCTCATTTTTTCAGTCTTCTCACACAATTACTCCATTTCTTATTCTTAAGTTTCTTGTGTTGTAATCTCATTGGTACTTAGTTTGGTAGGTATATTACATAATTATATTATTTACATTTATATTGTTTATATTTTAGTATTATTCATTCATTTATACTCATTCTTTATCAAATAACATACATAATTACACTCTAAGTGTGTTTGGAGTTTTAGAGTGTTTGGACTTTTCGAATGCGTTTGAGAGTTGGGAACGGAGGGAAAGTGAGTAGAGTTTATGACCTATTTTTTATTCAAGAGTTTTAAAACGCATGTGTGATTTTGTAGTCTTCTTGAAATCCTTTCAAATTGTTTTTTTTGTAGGATAGCTTATTAAATAAAATCTTTAACCAAATTTAAAATAAATACAATTACAACTACTCCCTCTATCCCTATTTAAAAGTGTCATTTTGTTTTAAACACAATTTTAGAAAGTGACATTGTTTGACACTATTTTGACACTGTTTGACACGGTTTTGGATTGTTTTATTTACCAAATAAGGATATGAACTTTTTTAGGGACGGACCGAAACAGAAAGTGGAATATTTATTTAGTGATGGAGGGAGTAATTAGATACTCTCTTCGTCCCTTATAACTTTGTCATCTTTCTCCTTTTCGATGTCTCAAAAACTTTGTCACTTTCTCTTTTAATCAATGAATTTGTGGTTCCTACCATTTCTCTCGTCTTTGCACCTATCTTTACCACACAGTTTTTACTTTATTATTTCATGTGCCGGTCAAACATGACAAAGTATTGAGGGACGAAGGGGGTATAAGATACTTTCGTGCCGCTCATGCACTTGCAAAGTGCTAACGTTCTTCAGACACATCTTAGTAGTAACCAGGATTTTATTTGTGTTAATGTTGTAAATCAGAATGAGAATGATCTAATTATGTAATGAGAGACAGTTTTATTCAAAAAAAAAAATATAACATACCTGCAGAGTAGTTTTAATTACGGAGTATAATTCTTCCATATTTTATATTTTTAAATTTGTAACTCTCAAATAAGAAAAAGATTTCTATGACTAATTTTTGTCCCATCCTCTTTCTATGTGACACCGCACCCGAACGTCCTAGAAATTTAAATTTAATTTCAAAGCTTATGTATTGAATTTCCCTATTTTCGAACGATTGTAAAACGATTAAAGTTTTATGGAACGTATGATTTATCATATTACTATTTGGGCTCATATAATGATAATGGACTCCTAAATAATTAATTGGGTCATATTATTGATATTGGGGCCCAACATCGTTAAATAAAGATATACAACCCCTCGGTACAATGTAAGTGCGGTCGGGCAGCCCAAATGTTATTTTGGGCCTAACCTGCTAAAAATAGTAATTTGTCAAGAATGACGTCCTAGACCCATTGGAGGGTGACCCGCACGGTTGGTAGCCCAGATACATAAATATTAATATCATAATTGAATGATAGAATGATTGAAGAAGAATACAAATGCCTCTGGTCCCATCTTTGGCATTATTAGGCTAAATAATGGGAGTAGGGTTTTCTTTTGTGATTATACATCAAATAAATTATTGGGACCACCCTACACATATTAGAGACCAATAATATGATGTAGAAGGTTGACTTGATCTAAATAAATTGGGAAGAGTACAAAAGTACATCTTATGACAAATGACAAAAATGATATGACCCATCTTTCCACCTTTGGATGTATTGGTTGATATTTTGCTCCCAAATTAATTGGGGGACATGAGAGTACGCCCCACACCTTCCTATCACCTGAAAAACAGGTAGAATAAGTTAGAACACATAAATGGGTCGGACCTATTGAGTTGAGAGCTCAAACAATACAAAAGAGAAATAAAAGAGGAGAACCATCCCATGTTTGATTGGAATCAAACACCCAACCTTTTATTTTTGGGAGCCACACGTTTAGATAACATTTTGAGAGCTTCCAAATACCTTCCCTTCACCCCTCATTCGAACTCAAAAGATAAGGGGAAGAGAAGAGCCGCACAAAACCAAAGAAAGCAAGAGAAAGGAAAACTGTCCGCAGGGTAAAAATCCAGTGCGTAGTCCTTCTTGTTCGACTCATATCTTGAGTTTCACTCATCCAATTAAAGCGTGTGAGGTGCCCGCTGAAAGATCTCGAGAAGAGAAATCCATAGGCGTGCGGTTTGAAGGAAACGGAGCAGTTTAAGACCTCCAAATCGTCCGAACACAACAAAACCTCGCAGAATACGTTTGTGGTATTCAAAGTAAGTTTGAATCCAAAACCTTCCTTTCTATTGCCTAAATCCTATGAATGATTGAAGAACTATTATACAATGGTTTAAGTGTATAAAATGTTATTATATAGTAACTTTAATTGTTGGAAAGGTTAGATACTAACCTAGACAAAACCTTGAAAGGTTAGGGAACGAATTCGCCGGAAAACACCCGTTCTAGGGACTGTTTTCGTATCGACGTTTAGTGGTTGAGCTAGCACCATGAGGAGGCTGCTTAACACTCATATTTAAGCAAGGAATCGGTTCTTAATCCACCTTGGCCGAAGCTTTGACCATTGGATCAAGAAGGAAGAAATTTAAAGCTCATTTAAGGTGAGGATCGACATCTAGTTGCTTACAACTTGTAGGTTAAGCATGAGATTACCTAAATGCCTAAATCATGTTTTTTCATGGATTATAATGACTGATTATTGATGAAATATTGATATATTAGACAGGAATGAAATTGCAAATGATTTGGAAACCATATTGATAAAAATGGAGTTAAATGAACTATTGTGTGAAATAGGCATTTTTACTCATGTGTGAATTGTGAAGATACATAAATGATTATTTATGTATTAGATTGGATGATTAAGTTGTTGCTACATATTTCTAAATATGTAGGTATTTACAAATGAAATATATGATTGATGGGAATAATCTTAATAGTATTGGAATACTAGTCAATGATTGTTTGTAATCGTTAAGGAATTGAATCTAAGTATTTGATCGTAAGTGATGTACTTGATTGTGGTTCAAGTGACTAAATTGATGAAATGTGATGCTAAGATCATGATGAGGCAATCCGTAAGGATGTCCCGAAATAGATTATTGATATTACAATTCTAGGCATAACGAGTGCTTAGGAATTGGGATCTATGCCAATGCAAGGAGATGTACTTGAGCCCGATGCTCTAGAATTGCATTGGGTAGACATAAGGATTTGGTTCAGCTCATGTAAGGAGATGTACTTGAGCCCGATGCTCTAGAATTGCATGGGTGAACATGACGTCGGAGATTGGTGGAGTAATTGACTTGTGAATGATGTGCCTGGTGATATAGTCGAGTTGGACTCGAGGAATACAAACATGTGTGTTAGGGTTGGACCCTATGTATTATCGTGACTAGGGGTCACATGGTTGGGTTATGTTTTGTAAACAAACCTTGGGCCTACGGGCCGACTACTTGACTATATATATAAGTAAGTATATTTTGAAAAGGGTAACTTGGGTTTACGACCTAGATTATATTATCACCCTAGTTGAGGGTCTTGTGTTTGAA